GAAAAAAAGGGGGGACAAAGGGAAAATAAAAAGGAAAACAAAAAACCTAAACCCAACAAACACAAGCGGAAGCTTCACGCAGAAAACCTTCGGGACAACGGAGCCGCCGCACTCACCCCCGCCGGCCTCCGCGCTCCCTTTTCCCGGAAGCACAGCCGAGCCCGCGGGAGCGGAGCCCGGCCCCTCCCGGGATTCAGCCGGCGGCTCCCACACTCCGCCCTCGGCCGGCGCCAACAGGGAGGTGCCGGAGCCCCTCCCGGCAAAATGGCGGCCACGCCCCGCCTCGGTGTGCGGTGGTGGCCGACCCGCTCTGCGCCCTTGAAGGCGGTGATTTCCCATCTCTGCCTCCCTCTCGTGGCAGAGCGTACTGAAAACACGCCCAGTCCATGAGCGGTTAATTATTATTGTTGTTGTTATTTATTTGTGACGCAGGGGTTGCTCTGAGCAAAGGTCAGCTGTTGCTGTAGCCGGAGATGGTACAGGCTTAACCCTTCCTCGCATTTCTGAGGTCTGAGTGAGGCAAATAGCCCTTATAGAGGTGTGGGTATTTTATTTTCTTTTTATTTTATTTTATTAAAAGGAATCTATGGAGTCACAGTAGGCTTAATTGGGAGCTGATGAAGACTTAGAGCTGGGATGTGGTAGGAAAGCAAGGGTGAGGGTTGGCAGGGTTTACCTCCAGCTGTAATACAAGAACCTAAAGGGCTAGAAGGATTAAGGATTAAAAAATGAGTTGGGTCTAATTGCTGTAGGCTGGGAGTAAGTACTAGGACCAGGGATCAGGGGCCCTCATCATGAGGGTGAGGAGAGGGATTTTGCTAAAATATAAGCCACTTTGTACGTGCAGATGTGAGGGGGAGGGATAGAAATGCCATACCTAATAGTGATGAGGACAGAAACTACCCGTGATGGCCTGATCTAAATGACAGTCAGGATTGCTCTGTGGATGCAAAGCATCTGTGCTCATCTTGGCACTGCACTGGTTGCCCCTTTAGGGTAGGAGGGAAGAGGAGCTGTGCCTTGGGCCCCCGAGTGTTGGGCCTGATGGAGAAAGGGTTCCAGTTCTGCTCCCTCTGGGTTGCAGAAAGAGATCAGGGTTTGGTATTTGCCTCTTTGCTAGCAAGCAAGCAAGCAAGCATCACCTGCTCTGCAGGGCAAGGAGTAATTGACTAGGGTGAGCAGAGTCTGCCAAAGAAGAGGATGGTTTGGGATTTGTTGTGTCTGATGAAGAAGAGAAAAGGGTGGTCAGCTTTAAAAGTCATTG